TCAGCTTTGAAAAAAGCATGAAATTACTTAGGTGCTCACTTTTGGTTTTATATTCTACAGAAGTTCCTTAGGGCTGACCAAGGTGCAAATCAGTGCTGAATACCACTCCTTAGGCATAGTATTTTCAAGGAGTGTGATTATGTATTTGTAGCTTCCCTATATGTAACACAGCACCGAAGGAGAAGGAGTCTTCTGGATCTTRTCCTCTAGTGTGCATGGAGCTTGTTTTCACACAGATGCTCTGTCACATGAAGAAGCTATTCACTTTAACKCTACAAACTGGAATTTTATCTTGCACACTGGAAATTTTATTACATGAGAGGATARTTTCAGGGTAGTCAGCTCACAGAGGAGTACAGCTGGTTTGATAGAGAGKCTTTGCTACTGACTGCAAGATGAAGCTAGCTCATGAACACAAGTGTCATACTCTTGGGACCTCAAGGAAAGCCACTCCTAGCGATTAGCTCTGTCTTTTCAATCTTGACATTTTAAGCATGGGCTCCATTTGAGTTTATTTTAAATGTGTAATATTTTTAGCTCGTTCTTTTGCATGGCTGTAAATTCCTAGCTTTGAAGAAAGGCTCTGTTTACAATCTAGGGGAAGGTTCACTTCAATGCCCAGGAGAAGTCTTAAAAGGTGCAGGTTAGACACAGCCCTATTTACCAGTGTGGTTGGACAGATCCTTTAAATGCTACAGTAACCTAAGACTGGGGTTTGGTTTTTTTTGACTGACCACTAGTGTGAGATTAGAAATGGGTCCAGACCCCTCATCACTCATCCAAATGTCCCCAGCTTTGGGGAAGAGAAGAAAGATTGGTATTTGAAGCAGAAGTTAGACTGAGATTTCATAGCCAGGGTCAATAAAAATTCAGTGGCAACAGCCCCCTTAGATCTTGGCAGAATTTTGCCATATGGCATTTTTATCTATGGATGAATTTTTATGGCCGCAGTACAAAATAAATGACCTTCTGGGTTTTTTGTTTGGGGTTTGTTTTTTTTTTTTTTTTTGCTATTTTCCATCAAAGGTGGTGCGAGAAACCGTGTAATGGGAGAGAAACTAGTGTGCAACAGAAGTCTCAGTGTCACTCAAACTCAACAGCTGTGGTCTCACAGCACCCTGTCCCCCTCACTTGGTAGGCTGTTCTGTATTGCTTTCAGCAGCAGTGACTGTTCACCCGTAAATTGTCCATGCTAAAGCGAAAGCAAATATTTTCCATTACTCAGCCTCGCTGGACTCTGCTGCTCCCATGGGGCAAATGTTCAGCCTTTGGTTATTTCTTCCACTGGTTCTATTTTCTCTCTCCCACATAAGATAAAGAGAGTATCAGCCAAAATAATGAACATTTTGTTTCTTGATCTTTCAGCCTCCTTTATCTATCTTGGAACGTAAGGCAACCACTAATGAACAGAGTGCAGGTTCAGTGCTGATGGAAAGGAGGAAAGAACTGGATATGAGCCGGACTAAAATTTGTCTCAATAACTCTAACTGTGACCAAATCCACCCACATTCAATGACTTTTTTGTAGGGTACACARTGTCACAAAGTAATATACTACCAAGCTTTCTGCTTTTTTTTTCCAGAAGACACATATGAAAGAACCCTGATGGTGGATGGGGAAAGTGCGACCGTTATACTGCTCGACATGTGGGATAACAAGGTACTTTAATTTTTTCTGGTCAAATGCTGAAAGGAAGGTCCATATGAATGACTGCTAATATCAAAAGTAGGTTTCCTTTGGGAAAGAAAGTAGGTGTTTTCCAGACAGCAAAATCATGGAAGATATACGATTAACCCTACCCCACATCAAGGCAAGCATGCCTAATGGCTCTGCAGTGTGAGCCTGAGAAGTACAAGTCTTCATTTTTTAAAAATAAAACAAAACAATCAATCTTTCTTTCCAGACCATATTCATTCCATCCCAAAGCCAGCACAATAAATTATCTGGGGCAAGTTTTGCCCTCCTTTGTGGTGAAGTATTCATACAATCACCACATTGGAATTACTTGTAGTAGAGCTGTGATTCAAACCATRCCCATTACAGTTTACACCAGGAATGTATTTGGAATCTCTAATGTTTTACTTTCTAAGTAAAAAAAAGTTTTACTTTCTAAAACCTGCTCTGGGCATAAYGACCATTATGGTCTGACTATTTCATTTTGACAGCGTGAGGGAGAATGGATCCGAGACCACTGCATGCAAGTGGGAGACGCCTACTTGATCGTCTACTCCATTACAGACCGAGCAAGCTTTGAGAAGGCCTCTGAACTCAGAATACAGCTCCGCAGGGCACGACAGAAAGAAGATATCCCCATTATTTTGGTTGGCAACAAAAGTGACCTTGTCAGGTGCCGCGAAGTTTCAGTGGCAGGTAAGGAAATTATGAGCATAAACCTGAGATAARCATGAAAAGTCATCTGGTAGCTTTTGGACAAACTGCAGTGCTCTGGCTGAGGGAGTACATTGTGATCAGGACTGGGCAATAAAAGAGYAATAAAACAAAAGAGGACTGGAACMGAGGGCAGAGAACTGGGAAGGGTCTGCCAGGTCCTTAAGCCTTCCTTGGTAWTACTGTAATATCAAATAATCCCTTTTCTATATTTATTCAGTGCCATTATAAAAAGGATTTCTTCCTTTCCAGCTCCTAGTGTAACACTGCTGCAATATGTGATTTCTCTGGTAGCTCAAAACTCTTTGGATTCCCAATAGATGTTTGCTCATAATGAGTTTACCCCCCTTTATTCTGATGCCAAAAAATCTCTTCTTTATAACTAGTTCTCTGTTCCCCCTGATGAATTAAAATTCCCTCTCAATCTTTGTTTTGCTAGTCTGGGCAGGACCTATGCTGCCTTTCAGAAGATGTTTCCTTACTGCCTTGTTTTGGGATGCTAAACCAGCCTTCCTTCGGCTGCACACAAATGAATAACTGCTAAGCCCATAAATAGGAGTGGAGAGACTTTTGGGAACACYCTCTGCTGGCTCTCAACATCTGCAGTCAGTCAAATCTCTTCTTGGAGAGTCTTCCCTAAGGCTGAGGTGACACTGCAGTACTCAGCAGTGGGCCAGATGTTCTCATCTTGGCCCATCAGAAGCATGGATTCTTCTGCTCAGAATTTTCTTCTCTCTGCAGCCCTTCTGCTCTTCTCCTTCCCAGTCAAGCTAGACTTCTTTTCCTTTCCTTGTGGATGTGCACTGTTCCATTTGGTCCTGTCAGAGGTGTCCCAAGTGAAGAGCTTGAACTGAGTGGCTCATAGGGAGCTCAATGTTGCCTTCTCATTTCTCTCTGCCCAGCTTGAAAGCTCTTCTGAAGGATGGCAGATGAACTCGTGTCACTTAGTGGCCCTGGCAATGAATTCACAGCAAGCCAGAAGACAATAAACTGGCTTGTGTGTGAAAGACAACTGTCAGGTTTATCTTAGGCTCGTGTAATTGAGGGTAAGAGCTCTGATTTCAKATGTACCCCCTAAAGCCAGAGACACAGTTTATCAAGGGTTTTGTACATACAGTTCTGAGGTTCTGGCTTACACCCATGGCCCATAAAGGATGACAGTGCCCTGCCTGCTGTGCTGTATGCCTGGAAGGTGCCATCATCGCCCTTCAGTGCACCTTGAGGGAGTCTCCATCAAAGATGGCTGGGTGGTACTGAGGCATTGCTGGCCTCCCAGCCTTCAGTACCTCAGCTCAAGTCCGTCATTCGCAGCCAGCAGGCCGGGCTGGGCATTCCTGGGAGGGGATTTACCACCCCCGCCTCCTCTGGGAAGCAGCTGTGACACAGAGCAGATGGATCATGGGCTAGTAGGCAGCATCAGGTGATTAAAGACTTATCTGTGCCTATATTAGGCTTGAGGGAATCCCCGGAGGCTCTGACTCCCCCGCACRTTGGCAGCTCATCTCTGCTTTCCCCCCTCCCTGGGGCTTGTGACCCCACATAACATGTGCACCTTGTGATTTTGCAGAGGGCAGAGCCTGCGCCGTGGTGTTTGACTGCAAGTTCATTGAGACCTCAGCAGCTGTGCAGCACAACGTCAAAGAGCTCTTCGAAGGCATTGTACGGCAGGTCCGGCTCCGCAGGGACAGCAAGGAAAAGAACGAGAAGCGGCTGGCGCTACAGAAACGGAGAGAGAGCATCCCCAAGAAAGCCAGGAGGTTTTGGGGCAAAATAGTTGCCAAGAACAACAAGAACATGGCCTTCAAACTGAAGTCCAAGTCTTGCCATGACCTGTCAGTACTTTAAGAACGCTGGACTCTGCCAGAGCTTGTGGCATTTTGTGGACGTTATCTAACTTTGTCRTGGGACAATCAATCAATCTATATTAGATTGGGCTATCAGTGACTTAGGTTCACAGCTGTGATCGTGATATGTGCTGGCATAAGAACAGCACAGTGCATGGAAATATCTCTCTTCCTTGTTTTTTGTTAGTAGTCTTAAAAGCGTAGACCAGAATGACCCAAAATTATGCTGGGAACTGTTCTGGAATACACCTGTTCTTTGTCCTCTCTCCCCTGAATAATAGTGTAAGAACCTCAAACACCATGACTTGCGAAGTGAATACTACTGTCTTTACTCTTTCTCCTTTTTATTATTTTTTTTAAACCATGTAAAGAATTGAGGAACTGACTGGAGATTGGTCCTTTGCCAGTTGGCTGGTCAGGCTTGAGCACCCACAGCTGAAAAAATTGCATTTTTGTAGAATAACCACCAAGACACCTGTTTGGTATTTTTTCTTTATTTCGATGATTAGTTTCAGTGAGTTTACACATCTCTTGCTTTGAAAATATTTAAAGGAAAAATCCTATAGTAAAATTTTCCTCTCATATTTTCATATTATGGGACTGTTTAAAAATCATAGTAAAATTAAGATTAAAGTGCAAGTTGTATCAAAGTGCATCAAGTGCAGGATGCCAAACCTTTAAAAATCACCTGAGCTTTTTTATGACACCACATGGACTTCTTGTATCCATCCTTGGCCTTTCTCTATGCCAGAGCTGTGCTGTATTTATTGTTGTGCAAAATAACAAGCATTTTAATGTCGAGGGGAAATGTATTTATTACGGATTTTCTTAAGATAATAATGTTAATTTTATTACTGTTTTCTATCTAATATCTTTTTTTCAGATATGCAAGTTTTTACTTACATGCCTTGTAATAAAATAAATAAAATATATGACTGTGTTTGAGCCTCAGTAAAAAATCCCTAAGAACGTTTTCAAGTAGAGAAAAGATTGTGCATGCTGGGCAAGACTGCTGCTTGAGAAATGCAGTGAATGGAGGAACCTGGGATCACAAGGCAGGAATCACCAGGAGCCTCAAAGATAGGAGTGCACCATTCTCCTGGGAAAAAAAATCGGGTTGTGGTGACAGAGCTATAAGAGAAATCCCTCCTAGCAAAGGTGTTTGGCCTTTGGCCTGGAAACACTTTAAAAATGTAGATGAGTACTGTTATCTCAATTTTGGGGAGGAAGAGAAGRGAAATTATACATTCAGGTACAGAAAACAGGTGTGCCTTAATCCTCACATACTCTTGGGTATAACTGTGCTGATCCCCTCTTGACTATGCTGGTCAGAGGTACAGTCATTACTTTTTTGCCCACATCTGACTCAGAAAAGCCACATCTCCAGCCTGCAAGCTCATCTTCCCAGATGATGAAGGCAAAAAGATGCAACACCCATAAGGTGAAACTTGGATTCCCATTTTGGGCTGCACCGTTTTCATGCATCAAATGCTCTCGAAAGGAGGGAGCATGCTGAGTCTTTGCCCACGTTTTCTCTGCTGAGGGGATGACTTCTGGCAGATCTCTAARGGTAAAACATCACACTGCAGAATGACTCAATGCTTGTACAATATTTAGATCTCCCTGGAAAGGAATTTCTGATCTAGAACAAAGTGTTGACTGTAACAGAAAAAGAAAACCTCTTGAAACGAGCACAGACAATCTCCATGTTACTGGATTTGGGATGAATGCTTTTGAACTGTCAGCACACAACCTAAGGTCAACCCAGAGCAATCCAGAGAATTCAGTTTTCAGAAGTTTTAAACCCTCAGAACCTTTCCCCTATTCAAAAATGAAAACAAAATTACACAAGTTAAAGGACTTTTAAAGATTATGTTTATGAACTGAAAGTATGGCTGTATGCAGCCAGCACATTCCTTAGTCTATTCTCTATCTGTCAAGCTACAAATCTAAACTGAGAAGGTTTTGAAGAAATGTAAAATGTTGATCATACAGCTCTTAGGAACAAAAGCCATCCATCCTCATGGCATCACTGGATACATAGATGGGAGTTGCCTAGTAAGTTTTCATGCCCTCACTCATCTTCTTCCAGGATAACAAAATCTCTTTCTAAAACATATGATTTTTTCAAGAAAAACTCAATGATGTAGGTCCATTCCCCCAAGCTGTCAGAMGCTGCCACAAAGAGCTGTGCAGCAGACAGGGCATGTCACCTGATTTTTGCTGTTCACAGCAACCAGCCCTCACTGTAATTCTGTCTTCTCAGGCTGCTGCTGGTCTYTGAACAGCACAGCACTGCCTCTGGACCAAAACCATTTAAAGAGATGCCTCCACCTTGCCTGTCCCAGTCAACCTCTCACTGRCCCTTTAGGTTCACCCTGCAGGCTCCTGGCTTGCCCTAAGTTTTCAGGCAGAACATGGGGGAAGCTGTGGGGTGAAGAACCACAAGCAGCAGCATCCCCTCCGWGGAGCTGCAGCTCAGACACCATTGGGGTGTGTTACTTCTGACCTGTGGATGAAGACTGAGAGAGCTGGTGCTGAGCATCCACATTTTGCACATTTCAGGGCTTTTTGTGTTTTGGAACTGATCCTGTGGATTGAATGTCCACCTGGGACTGCAGAGCCTGAGACGCACTTCYGAAGGGCACCCTGAGTTGCACGTGAAGGAGCCCCAATTTGCTCTGATCTGCATGGCTCCAGTTGGTGTTTGGGCATGGAGGAGGGGCTGGGGCTTTCCCTGCAGCTCATGAGATTAATCTGAGTCATAGTTTTTGTTGATCATCACCAGATTACCAAATACAGCAACTCTTACTATAAATAAAAGCTAGTGTACCTGGAAAGATTGATTAATGCTAATTTAATCTGGAATGCTGACATTTCAGAACTTTAATATCCACAGCCCCTCTGTTCATCTGAGATACAAGTGTCCAAAACTGTGGGACGGATCAATCAGCGATTCTAATCACTGTTCTGCTATTTATTAAGTCAGGCTCCAATGACAGATCCTGATGTGATAATTACACTCCCGGACCCAGAGATCTGGCAGTGGCTGTGGAATACTTGAGTCACAGCAGTGAGCGCACCAAGGCCAAACCGGCAAAACTCACAGCGTCCAAACAAAATAAAATAAAATAAATACAGAAAAAAAGAAGTCTAAGAACACACAAAATGCCGGTTATAGTGTAATAGCTGTTATAAAAAGACCTCTTCAAGAAKATCAGATCTGTAAGTGGAATTACAGAGCTTGGCCAGCTTTAATTAATTTAATTGTGACGGATGACCTGCATGAAGAAAAGCTTATTTATGCTTTAGGAAAGAAACACACTTATTGGTTTTTATGGCACTGTGTGGATTTGCAGGGTGCTAGAAGACTTTGAATTCTGGAGAATTATTGATAAAATTTAGTCAAGTAAAAGAAAGTTATTTTCAATAAAATCAGTAGATGTACTGTGGATTTAACCCTCACATATGCAAGCCTTTCAACATCAACCCCTTGGAAAGCATTAAAGACCTGAGTTCTCTGTCTTATGCTGTTTGGGGTTCAGACACAAATGGGAGAGAGGGCTCCTGACTGCAGCAGTGCTGGTGATAATAGTGGGATCTACAGGGGCTGCTGCAAAGCAAAGAAGCAGTTGAGTTCTGTGTCTTTACAATCTGCTACAGCTCTTCTTTCTCCCTGGGAAGGCTTTTTAGAGAAAGCTGTGGCACCCAGGGAAGAGACAATGTACTGAGATCCCTGGACTAATAAACCATTGAAACTCCAAAAATGAACCCTGCAACTCATTTCTTGCAACACCTCTGAAGACTGTAGAGCTGAATGCATTGTGTAAATCCTTCCTGTGTCTTACTCACAAACACAGGAGATAAATGCTGGTGTGAGCTGTGGGGCTGGTCCTCCTCTGGCTCCCTTTCCTGGACTGGCATATATTCCCTTCACTATGCCCCAGAAAACTGTGGAAAAGCTTCGTCTCTGCTGCTGCGTCCAGGAGGGGCCATGGGCCAGGTGTAGGTATGCGATGTAGGGTAGGGATGGCTGCAGGAAAAATGGTGAATCCCACCATTTGTCACGACCAGAGAACCCATGATGTCAGTGTGCAACCTGACAGCCTCCCCTGGTGCTGTCACTCCAGAAACCTCCCACAGATGTTGCAGCAAGCCCAGCTCCTCCCTCAGTGACCACCTGCCACAGGATACAACTCTGTAATCACAAATGTGAGATCATCAAGGTAAAGTTGGATTTTTTTTTCCTAGAGCCACTGAAATTCAGTGTGAAAATTGCTTGTGATTTTAGCAATATTGCTGCAACAGGTTCCCTCCTGTCCAACAATTGAGACAACACACTCACAAGAGAGCACACAGGCCCCATGTGGCTCATTGTACAGAACCACCTGGAACATGGTTAATAATTGCTGAGAAAATAATAAATGTAACACACTTCATCCAAGTCTTGAAATTTATTCATGAGTCATTTTAAAATGCATTTACTTTCTAAATAGCAGCTGTTTCTGCTACTCTGCATGTGTGCACTCAAAAGCCTCCTGTCAGATGCAGGCTGTGCAGAGCCAGCCTTTGACTGCTCTTTGGGCCAAGARGAAAAGGGAGGTGGGAAATTTCAATGAGAAAATTCAGACTGCCACATGGATCCACTGAAGGATGCCTGATTTCAGCCCCTTCATCTGTGCTGACTGCATGCAGGGACTAGCCTTTCAGTCTCCTGTGCATTAAGGTTTTCCTTCTCCTCTTGATGCAATCTTGTGTCGTGAATGGCTGCATTTGCTCTGCCTWGCATTCCTCTGTTCAGCAGCCACTGGGACTGGGATGTTCCCTCAGCACCCATGGCAGGCTTTTTGCCAGCAGGAGCATTGGGAAGGTGCCCAGCCCCGCCAGGATGTGTGGCACACGGACTTTGACAGAAGCAGCTCCACTGGCAYCTCTGCTGTGGCTGGGGTGGTGTGCCCAGCTGATGAAGCCCTGAGAACAGAGGTTGCCASTGCAGCTTGGCAAAGCAAATTGATATTCCTTGGTTTATAGACTTTATCCACTGCCCCTGGATAATTATCAGAAAGAATCCAAGGACCCAGAGAGAAAAAATGCCCAGCCACTTTGGACTTGTGGTGCTTCCAGATCTGTGCTGTCTCTGAGAAAAGAAGGCGAAGCAGCAAAGGAGGTGCTGTTTAGAATGTTACCTACGGGACCTTGTGAGCAGCAGTTCTTCACTCACTTTCCCCATCAGCTTTGTGAAACTGAAATTATCTGCCATTTCGCCCCTAGCCTTCTCCTCTCCACACTGAAACCCCAAAACCTGTTAGTATTTCCCTTAAGGCAGCTGCTTCAAGTGATTAGCTGTGTTTG